CTAGGGTGACCTCGTTTTGGCAACTTGGTCGTGTTGTCAGGTAGACTTATAAGCACCTTGTCAGAAGTCTTCTGCTACAGTAGTTAATACAATTCCCACCGTCGGACCGTGTATTTGGTACATTCCCAGATGCTTCGCTGACATCGTTATGAGTCTTGCTCGTGACTGGCCATGTATAAAAATTATATAAAGTGCATTATTTATCTCGGCTAGAAATGTGTGATGGCAAGTACTATAGCAGTCTTTTACTAAATATACAAACCAAATAGTGCCATAAACTCGTTAAATTCTTGTGCCAAGTTCATCGTTAAAAAGTTGATTGCTTCTGTGCGATCAAGGGTCCCATTTTTAGCATCCAGGTGTAGACCTTACTAGTAGCAATGGACTTTGTCATCCAACGAAGCTATCAATCACGAATTTTATTTTCTTTGATTTTTTTAATTTATTGTTTATAATCTTTTTTGCTGTATTTGTTGATTTATTTTTATCTTCTGCATCAGACCTTCCTGGTTGACACCTTTGCCTCCATGGTAGACCATACTTTTGCTGACCCCATCTCTTGTTTCATCAATAGAGCTCCTACCCTGCAATACTGCGGACATACCTCGGCCAGTTTCCCTTCCAGTATAGATTCTTCCAATTATGGCCAGCGACGACAACCCTTACGACCATCATTAATGCGTATCTCGATTTCCAACAGATTTGGGCCATCGGATCTTGCAAGGCGGGCTTCGGAGCGCCAACAAAGTAATGGCTCCACTCGTGAGTACTTTGCCAATACTGCCACCGCTAATATATTTACTGGTGTGAGCAATATCAATGCGCCTTTGCGACGTCGGATGGTATATCGGCATTTCACCACAGCCATAGACCGGCGCAATATGGAAACTGTATTCGAGGCTATGCGTGATTCCTTGTTAGAGAATAATCTTAGGCGTATCATGATGAATTGAGCTAACTTGATTTGTTATTTACTGTTGAGCTTACTTCCATTTTGAGTAAAGTGTTGGGTTAAGAGATTCGAAGGTCGGTTCCACCAGAAGACGATGGCGGATTCCTCTTTACCAGCTGTCAATTAATTTTACTGAAAGATTCATGCTGACGCTGCTTCCGTGTTAATCTTCTTCGATTCCGGTGCAAAGGTGCTGAGCTTTTGTCCGTCATATGACGAACAGCATCAGAGCAAGGTGTAATTATCGCAACCAAATTCAAGCTAATGAGTCAAGAGTTTTTTTGACTACATCGGAAACAGCATCAGCATGAATATTCCAGTAAAGCCAATCGACAGCTGGTCAACAGTAATCCACTGTCGTCTTCCGGTGGAACCGACCTTCGAATCTCTTCATTCAACACTTTCACTCGAAATGGAAGTAAGCTCAATAATTATGAAACAAGGGATTCCTTGAAACTCAACTTTTCTTGTTATTTACTTACTACCACCTACTGTGCGCGCAGTTTTTAAGCCAAAAAGTAACGAATAGAATTCTTATCTTATGTTTATTTTCCTTCATCCTTTTGCCCTGATATACTATATTATCTAGGAAATGTAATTCTTAGTCTAGCCTAATGATCACCCCGCTTCTTTTTCAAGTTCTAATATTTATTCATTCAATCAAGCATATATGTCCTATGCCCAGTGTCTCTTGTTTGCCCTGCCCTTTTCTATTCTTAATTCTGGTATTGGAATATATTGATACTTTTCAAGTACCTCTCTCATTACTATTAATTTTATTCCTCATTGCACAGTTTTAATTACTATTTTTTTAATAGTTTTATTTTATTCACTGCCATTGACTTTTTTGGCCCGTTCTTAAATCATGTCGACTAGTTTAAACTGGCAATTTTTACGGAGTCTAATTCCTCCTGAGTCCAGTTTATCTCGAGTGCTAAATTTCTTGCTCTCTAAAATTCAGCTTTCATTTGTACAGTTCAGTTTAAAATTTTTAACTCTTTCTTTATGAACCTTTCATTAATTGAATATTGCCTTTGATTGTTCTTCTTTTTAGATTTCAAAATATTTTTTAATTGTTTTTTGTATCCATATATTCATATTTGTCAAAAATTGCACATTACAACTCTTTTTGCCGCGGCATTTCTTGCTTACTCATTCTTACACATATGCTTATCTACAAAGATGATCTATTTTGTCTCGGCATTTATACTATTAAAGTTGTCTCTTCTCTATTTTTAACCGTCATGACTATTTATTCCTGCTACTGCTTAAGGTGTCTTAATCTGTGTAGGAATGGACTTTTATTCGCCTTTTTAAAACTTAACGAATAAATGCTTTTTGAATCTCCTTTTTTCTTATATAGGCTTGCTACCTTGTAAGATGAGGCCTCGACTACGCGTTATCGATTTGTTATTATTATCTTTATTCCATTTTAGTAGTTAGAGATCCAGTTCTGAAGTATTACACTGGCAAGAACTTAGGAAAAACAAGGAATTTAATGCTAAAGAAGCATTAGTCACCTTATGTCGCATAAGGCGATAAAGATATCTTGATTGAATTCTTACACATCGATAAGAATGAGCATAAGCTTACTGCCTTTTTTTGTTTCGTAAGGAGGGAGTCCTTCTTAGATTAATTGTAAATAATGAAGGAGGCGTGATGCATAAAAGTTCCAGCAACGAAAAGTTGCTGATTTTTGGCTGTGTTCGGTTAGAAATTCGTATGAGCTTTGAAATCGCTTGATCAGCAATTAATATCAGACAAAGACAGGCTAGTACATTTTGATGTTTTTTCTGTGTACGCAAATATTCCTGTTCAAGAAGCCATTCAGGCTCTAGTGCAAACTCTGGAGGAGAGTCCAGGGGTTGCACAAGGAATAATATTGAGCATAGCCTTCATCCTTAGACTTCTTAACCCATCCATAGATGGCGCCTATTTTACCTTTGATGGTAAGTTTTATAAACAGGCAAAGGATTTGTGATGGGATCCTGCCAACAATGGAAATATAAGAGGATAGGTCCTTACTCTTCTTGACGTTCTGATCACTAAAAGAGAGGGTTACTCGTGAAGAGCTGCTCATAGAAAGGTTGGTTTTTTTCTGAATGTTATTTCAAACCATTGTTACAAATTGAGGTTGGAATTTTAAGTCATTGATTATTAGGACTAGAGTTGGAAAGGCTGAAAGATTTCTTCCTTGAAAATATTTATCCTTTGAGTTTAATTAATAACAATGTCTCTTTGGTAAGGAATAAACTTTCAGATCGACACTACTTAGTGAGAGAAAGACAGTCTGAGAACTTTTCTCATTGTTGAGCTTACTTTCATTTCGAGTGAAAACGTTTGGTGTAGCGATTCGAAGATCAATTCCTCCAGAAGTCAAGTTTTCTTGACTCATCAGCTTAATTTCGATTTTAACGACGATACCTTGCTCTAATGATATTCGTCAGAGCATATATCTTTTCTCATGTCCTAATTAATTTCAAAATATATTCTTACCTATTGTGGAATGTAGTTTTGACCTTGCCCTAGTCTCATTAGGGACTTGAATTTTCTGGTGCAACACTACTTGCGGCCTCAATGAATCATTGCTGAGCTTTCGTCCGTCGTGTGACGGACATCCTCATAACAGCATGCTATGCTTAAGGCCATTTTACCAATACACAAAGACAAGAAAGGACCTTTATTTAGCTAGTCCAGCATAGTAAAATTTTGAGTGTGAATAATTGTCATGTTTTACTGAGTAAAATTAATTGGACTTATTGAACTAATAATGAATAAGTAAGTTAAGATGAAATGACAGAAACCTCCTACCATCTCTTGACTTTGTCTTATGCGTTCTCTCTTCCCAAAAAATTTAACTGTGGGCGAGTAAACTATAACAGTTTCTACGATTATACCCACTACAAGGGAAAAATCTAACCCATTATCTTGATCTAGTTGCCATATAATCATTTTTTTATGAGCTCGGATTTATGCTAATGCGACGACCTTCAATTTTGTAAAGAGATGTTTAACATACAAGCAACTGTTTACACTGTTAGCTTAAAAATCTGATAAGATGACCAAGATGATATGGCCGCAGTCTCTCTTCGATTTATAGAAGTAGGTTAACCCCGTTTTCGCAACTTGGTCTTGTTATCAGGGAGACATAGAAGAACGCACCTTGTCCGAAGTCATCGGCCATATTAGATATCATAATTTCCAACATCAAGGAATATCTTAGTTTATACTTGTTGAGCTGACTCCCATCTCAAGTTAAGTTGACCGATGAAGAGATTCGTAGGTCGATTCCACAGGAAGATGACGCCCAATTTCTTTTGGCCAATTGTTGTTGGGCCTTACCAGAACATCGGGCTTAGCACCGTTTACCAGGCAATTGCTCAAAATTCGACTTCCGTTCGTAATGTGACAGACATCATCAGTGCAGGCTTTCCTCCTTACACGAATAGTCAAGGTAAAAATTCAAAAATGTACCGGCTTCTCCCAAAATTCTGCTTTGCGTTCTGATTTTTTTAAAAAGTGGGTTGACCTCGTTTTCTGAATTTGGTCTTGTTTTCACGGGGACTTAGTATAACGGACCTTGTCCGAAGTCCTCTGCCATAGAAAGTATCAGCATCAGACCGTTGACTTGGTACTTTCTCAGACGTTTCGCCAGCCTTATCAGTAACTGTTGCCATTCTCCGCAAGAAGATATTAACTCGTCAAAGAGACATGTGAAGTTACTCTCTCTTTCTATCCTGGTCCATCTATCAAATCTTTACCCTCTTATCCAACTCCCGCCCTATCAAACCTCTGACTTGTTTACATTCCATTGACAAAAGGTGTGTCATTTTTTGACAAATTTTGTGTGGCCTTATCATACCTGCTATTTACTCTGGCCCTCTCTCTTTCGATCGGCTGATCCGACTCAGGCCTCCTATCCGGATCTACCTTATGGTCACCTAGGTCCGTTGCTTATCTATCTGGTTGACC